GCTCCACACCAAACCAGCACAGCTCCACACCAAACCAGCACAGCTCCACACGGGCCCTTCCCAGCTGGGGTTTACTGGGAGGAGGTGATTTATTTCCCTACAAGTTTTATCCCTGAGCTGTTCCATCACCATTCCTACTCCGTGTCCCCTGTGGGAACAGGAAGGGCTCTGCATCCCCTCTGTCCCCACCCTGTGACCCCCCAAACATCCCCACCAGGTGCCTGAGGCGTTCCCTGCTCCACACACCTCACTGGGAATTCTGTCCCACGCCATCCCCTTCCCGAGGCAGGCAGGAAATCCCAACCCCAAACTCCTGGGAGTGTGGCAGGGAGACCCTGTGCCCCATCCCAGCACACACACACTGATTAATGAACCCAAACTCAGAGCACTGGCTCAGATCTCCAGAAGGAACAGTTTGGAGCACAGCCATTTATCCCACGCGTGGAAATCAAGCAATAATTTGATTATTTCCACTGTGGCCACTTCTATCTGTTCCAGGTTACCGGGTAAGACAGGGAGGATTCCTGGAGTTTGAATTGGGCTTTGCTGTGAAGGGAAAACTGGGATTCAAATCCTGCTCCAGAGTGAGAGAAAACACAGCCAAGCACACCCAGCTCTGGGTCACCCCCAGGTGCTCCTGCCGTGCTCTCCACAGGGAGAACTTTCCCAAAACTTTGATGAACCTGCCCCTCATTTCTGGGTGACCTCAGCCCCCCTCCATCCCCCCTGGAACCCCTGGAGGAGCTCTCTCACCTCACAGCGGAAGGGTTTCTCCCCCGAGTGCTGCAGGGAGTGCACCTTGAGGGACATGCTGCGCTTGAAGGACTTCCCACAGGTTTCACATGTGAATGGCATGTCCTTGGTGTGTGCTGCAACACAACAGCCCGTTAGGGGGGCAGGGGAACACACACAGCTCCTCAAGCAACGTCCCCCTCCCGTTCTGAGCAGGAGGGTGATCCCAGCTGACAGCTCCCAGACATGGATGTGCAAACATTCCCATCCTCCTGCTGCCCAGCACCACAGGTGTGATCTCTGTGCTGAGCAGAAAGCTCAGACAACTCAGCTTGTCTTGTTTTCATGGAATCACAGAATGGTTTGGGGTGGAAGGACCTTAAAACTCATCCAGTTCCACCCCCTGGGCCACAGGCAGGGACACCTCCCACCAGCCCAGGCTGCTCCAGCCTGGCCTTGGACACTTCCAGGGATCCAGGGGCAGCCACAGCTTCTCTGGGAAACCCATCCCAGCCCCTCACCACCCTCACAGGGAGGGATTCCTTCCCAATATCCCATCTAATCCTACTCTCTTTCAGTTTAAACCCATTCCCCTTGTCCTGTCCCTCCATCCCTGGTCCCAAACCCCTCTCCAGCTCTCCTGGAGCCCCTTTATGCTCTGGAAGGGGCTCTCAGGTTCCCCTGGAGCTTCTCTTCTCCAGGTGATCACCCCCAGCTCTCCCAGCCTTATTATTTTTCTTTCCAGAACGAGTCCAGACCCACAAGGAGACCCCCCAGAACCCCCTGGAGGCTCCACCACCAACTCACCAACCATGTGTTTGCGCACGTGGGCCATGGTGTAGAACTTCTTCTCACAGATCTCACAGGAGAACTTCTTCTCTGCATACCCATGGACAATCTTGATGTGTTCATGGAGGGACCAGAGCTTCTTGAAGGATTTGTTACAGGAAACACACTGGGGTGGGACAGAGAAGGGAGTGGGAATTAGGGAGGTTTGGCGATTCCAGCCGGGACAGTTCAGCCACAAAAAGAAGCCCAAAACAAGTCAAAAAGCTGCCTCAGACTGCACATTTATTGGGTTAACACCTGAAACTACTACTCTAAGAAAAGCCAGGTCAAGCAGGAGGAGAGAGGATGTTAAAACAAGCACTTTGGTGCCACCTGAAGAGAACTTAGAATTCCAAAACTCAACACAGGAGCTAAACCAGAGACAACTTCACTGATGCTGCTGGTGTGGGGAGAACCCAAATCCTTGGTGTGGGGAGAACCCAAATCC